CCCATCGTGCTTTTGAGTGGGGTGGACCAGCGGTGATCCTGGGTGACTTCAATGGAGATTACCACGAAATGAAGAGCTGGGGTGAACTTGCACTCATAGGCTGGACAGAAGTTGGTGACATCCATCTTGCAAAGACTGGAGAGGTGCTGCCGGCCACCTATCAAAATGAGGTGAGACATGATTATATGCTCTTATGCCCATTCATGGCGTCCAGACATGATCAATCGTGGGTTCTTCGGGACCATTCATTTCCTCAACATTTTCCCTTGCTGACCACCTTTTTCTTGGAATCGCATCATGCTTTGAAGAGCGACTGGAAGCTGTCGAGGCCTTTAACTCCAGAGCAGCGTGAGTACCTCAGGCAACAGAACGTTGACGACGCTTTTAGTGCAGAGGTTACAAGATGCCATGGATCTATGGAGGCCTTTCTGGCGTGCTCGCTTTTCAAGCAGGATAGTTTTCGTGCTATTTCCAATATGGTGGAACTCTCCTGGAGACAGATCTTGGGGGATGCTGGCCATGACCTTAGGTTGAGGCCTTCTCAGATGGGTCGCTCTAAGCACCCGTCACTTAAGAAGCAGCATCACCAGATGAGCTCCTCGCTTGGGAGAGTCGGTGACTACTCGGCAACCTGCGAAGCTACTTCTGTCCATTCCAAACAGGTGGTTAGACAGTGTAGAAGATTGCAAGGTGTCATTAGAATGCTTACTAAGTTTCAAGATGACCACATGCCTGATGTGCAATACCAAACCATGCAGATTGACCAGGAACGTATCATTTCTGCCAAAGGCTTCGGTGTTTCATATTTGGAATGGGCAGAGAGAAAGGGGCTTCCGGCATTGAACCTGCCGGTATTTGATTTGCACTCAGTACAGCTTCATTTCAATGCAGTACAGACATTTGCAGATGAGAGTGCCAAACGGCAAAACTCTGACAAAAACAAGGCATGGAAAGATTTGCTGGCAAAATCCTTTTTGCACCAAGGTGGAAGGTTGGCTTTCAGACATGTCAAGAACTCTTTCGTTCCTGAGATTTCGCATGTACATGTCAAAAAGGCTTTGGATTTGGTTCCTATCAGGCAGAAGATGAAGGGTCCCCTTCGATATCGCTTGAAAACCCCTATCCCTCAGGGCAGTACGGTGCACTCGGATGTCGGACCAGTTCGGCTCAATGAGGCTGGAGATTTCTTTACCATAACAACAAAGGAGGACAACACACCATCGAAGTTTTGGACTGAGGGTTGGGCTTTTGACCCGGTTGACGTTCACAAGGAGTTCTTCTCGTTCTGGGATAAATTTTGGAATGAGCCTCAAACTCCTCATGCTGATGAGCCATATGGCCTGAACCTGGTCACCGCCTTCCCCGATGCCCTGGACTCAGAGATTCAGGTGGCAGATTTGCATTCGGTGATTAAATGCACAAAGGCCAACACAAGTGTTGGCAGTGATGCATGGTCGCTTAATGACTTCAAGATGATACCAGAGGTGGCACTTGGCACCATGGTCAAAGCATGGAACCTCATTTTCAGCGACCAGATCTATATACCTGCAACTTTTAGCATGGCACGGGTTTTGCTCCTAGCCAAGCATCTGGATGCAGAAAGTATATCAGACACAAGGCCCATCACTATATGCCCTTTGACGTACAGGTTATGTGTTCGGGCGATGACGAAAAAAATCACCAGACAGCTTTTGTGCTACTACCCGGTGGGGGTCTTGGGCGGACTGCCGAAAAGGGCAAGCTGGGAGTGCTATTACAAGGCTCAGTTCGTCATTGAGAACGCTCAGATGACAAGCTCTCAACTATGCGGCCTTACCACTGACGTGGTGAAAATGTTCAACGCAGTGCGGAGGCCCGCGGCCGCTGCACTACTTGAACGGGCCGGAGTGCCAGCAGCAAACATCAAGGTCTGGATCACACATCTTGACTCTTTGAGGCGGTACTTGAGAGTGCAGAAGTCTCTTAGTGCAGGACATACATCAGTGGTCGGGGTGCCGGAAGGTGATGCGCTCTCTGTCCTTGTGGCAACACTCTTTGGCGTGGTGTGGTGTGAAGCCATCAGAGCTAAGGAGGGTGGCACTGCAGTCCCCACCGCTTATGTGGACAACCTTGATGTTGTTGCAAAGACTGGGCAGGACCTTGAACATGCAGTGGACGTCATGTCTCACATCACTGCGACGTGGGGGTTGGCCTTCGACCTCAAGAAATCCTGGTGTTGGGATGTCGGATTTGACAAATCTGCAAGACCTTCCTTGAAGATTGAGCGAAAGCCATGTGGTAAAAACCTGGGCGCAGCCGTGACTTATAATAAGCATCCGCTCAACAATATTCAAGTAAGGCGAATCCAGGGTGTTTACAACCGGATTACTCGCTTGGGGCCGCTGCAAATCACTGACGAGCAGAAATGCCGCTTGATCAAGACTGGTATCTGGCCTGCTGCTCTCTATGGTGCGGAGATCACGTACTTGGGTAAGCAGTGGTATGTGACGTTACGGGATTTGACTGTCACTGCGCTCAACAAGTACCATAAATGGGCAAACAGATCGATGGCACTCTTCTTGTATGACTCAGAGTTGGATCCTTTCATCCACCTCACTCTCAATCAGATCAAGCAGGCAAGAAGGGCTTTGTATGAGCAGGACCAGGCGATCACACATGCAAACCAGGTGCTCTGTGGACAGTACAATTTCCATTTGCCGTATGGACCGATGTCAGCGCTTCAGTGGCACCTCCTTTCCTTGGGTTTCCAGATTTTGGAGGACGGCATGATCCAATTGCATGGCAGGCCAGATTTGCATCTATGGACTGCACCGTGGGAAGACATACGGGATACGATCCTTTTTGCATGGGGGCGATGTGTCATGGAGAGCATGAACAGGAGGGAGGAAATAAATTTCCCGGAAGATGTGGACTGGACCATTGTCCGTCACGCCCTTCGCTCATTGAACGACAAACCTAGACAGCACTCGATGTATATCTTCTTGACCGGAGCCACAGCCACCGAGAGAAAATATTCCAGGGTGAACAATGGAGATGACAGATGTTTCTGTGGAAATATAGACACTGTGATGCACCGTGTCCTGGAGTGCCCAGGCACAGCTGCTTGGAGAGATGAACATCCCTTTCTGAGATCTCTGGAGGATAGCAAGGCTACTTTGCCGCTCTGTCCGTGGATTGAGGATGGGAAGTTCTTTCAGCAGGCCTGTTCAGCGAGACCCAATCCTGCCGTCACTCAGCTTGGGGATGAGACTCAGTACTGGGTATACACGGATGGTTCTGTGCATAACCCGACCTGCCATCTCACTGCTGATGCTGCGTGGGCTATTGTCTACACAGAAGCCTTTGCAGATGAAGCATTGACCAGCCTGACATCCGAGGCAAGGAGACGTCAGGTGCCGGTGGATTGCTTCCGTACGTTAGGGACAGGGAAGTTGATAGGAAGGCAGACTATTAACCGTGCTGAGATGGAAGCGGCTATACAGGCAGTGGCATCGATCAGAAATGCTACTATTTTCACAGACTCGCAATATGTAATACAGATATGGAAGAGGGTGCAGGATGACTTCAGACCATGTGAATGGGTCAATGCAGCCAATGGAGATCTTACAATTCGTCTGTGGAAGGCCATGTGTTCCTTTCCAGGAGTGAGATCCATCCAATTCCAGAAGATCGGCAGTCATGCTGAACGCAAAGAGAACATTTGGGAGTGGTCGGATACCCCTTTTTTCCACTATTGGGGAAATCGTTCGGTGGATCATGCTGCCAGTGAAGCGATCAAATGCGACCATCCTGAGGTTTTGCGCAGAAGAGACAATGCGGGGAGATTGGTTCGTGTGAAGAAACTCTTCTATGTGGCGGTGTATGGGGCATATGCTAAGCTGCAAAAGTGCTATGAGGACAGTAGAGAAAGACGCCCTGTGCAAAACAGACAGCGACCACTGCAAATTCAAGATGTCGGAGATGTACCTCCTACACATTTCAAGGTTGTGCCTTTGCATGCAGCAGATACGCTGCGTTGGTGTAGCCATTGGACTCACACTTTTATGCAAGCACTGTACACTTGGATTGGGTCTCTGGCATGGCCACCCAGCTCAGTTAACACTGGCTATGTGGCCTGGGCAGAACTCTTGGCGTCTTTTAAACATTTCAGTGGCTTGAATGTCCCAGTCAAACACCCCACGGTGCCGCATTGCTTTACACTGACGCAGATCCACCCGTTGGTGCAGGATCTCACAGCTTTAAACGCTGAAATCACTAGATTCCAAAGTGCCATCAAAGCACTTCAACAGGTCCTAAAGCAGACGGTCGTCCCCAAGGACTCCTCGGTACAGTGTGCCTCCCGCTTGGGATACTACTTTGAAGGTCAGCTTGGTACTTTACATGGGAGACCCTGGATGCCGTGCTTCAGCCAATCCAGGGAGAGTCTCAGCAAATACTTTGAAAAGCTAGAGGGAACAACGCTGCACCAACCTTTGCAGATTCGGACAGACCGGGTGGTGATGACTTCACCATACGATGCCATTCTCAACACAAAGACGCATAAGGGCAAACCGCCCGTGCTTTTTCCCCCCTTTGCGGGCGCTTGAATGGAGTGATGACCAATTCCTGGGTTCACTACGTTGTAGTTTGGGGTTCACTTGGATCTTTCGATCCTTTGAGTTGTAGGCTGATGCCTCCTCTTTTATGGCAGCCTTGAATACCTTGGCTGACCTTGGTGGGGATGACAGATGAAAGGGGGAACTCGCTGCTGGGGGGTTGAGTTGCCCCAGGTTGTTCGGCTGCCCTTGCTGGGGCCCGCCTTTTGGGGTGTTGGGTGTTTGGTTTCTGGTTTTTGGTTTCCCCCTCTTTCCTTTTTGGTTGGGCCCTGGGGGCTTCTCATCCCTTCGGTGGTGGGTTGCCCGGCGACGTATCGGAGCGTCCAATGATGCCGATGGGGCCGCTTGCAGCTTCCTGGCTTGCATTGACTGACTTAGGTATTAAAATTGATTTTGATAGCATTGATGCCTGCGCGGATGTGATTCCAATTAATTGCTCAAGTCACTGCATGTCACTGCTTTATTTACTTTCAGGATCGCAGGGCGATCCGGCCCATCCCGCCCAAGAAGGCCGTCCAGTGGAGGGCATACGACGGCCTGCTGGCTGGCATCTTCAAGAAGTGCGTCGACAAGTGGAGCTGGATCAAGGGCGGCCAGGACTCCGTGAAGTTCCTGGCGGAGCTCATCCAGGAACTCCGCGACTACGAGGACACGATGGGCAACCGCCAGGGCCCGAATGCTCCTGTGGCCGCCGCGGAGGCCTACGCTTTCTGCCTAAATTTAATAGCTTGCCAAGTGCGAGTTGGTTGCCTTCGGCATGTAGGCACCAGACTGACTAACTAAGGTGAGGAAGATTCGTGCCTTGGCTTGGCTTTCATCTTTCTAGTTTTCAAGCTTCTAATTAAGTAAGCTATTAAATTGCTTGGCGTGAACTGAGGAAAGTCGGGCGATACGCCATCAGCAGATGCGAGAGCGATGGCAAACCGGGCGAGAGCCGCGAGGCGCATCATGATGGCAATGGACATTGACGTTTCCATATCTTGTCAATTTGCTGTCATTGGCACGTTGACTTAAAGTATTAGTCTTAGTAGTCTGTAATCTGATGGCTGCTTAAACTTAGGTAAGCGGAAGAAGCAGCGCACTGGCCCGGAGTCAGCGGCGGTGGTGGGCGGCGACGACGAGATGAGTGACAATGAGGTCGTGGTTGTGGAGGATGACGAGAGCGCTGGCTCTAAGAAGGCCGACGACCCGCCGATGCCCGTAGTGGACACCGCCTGGTTGAGCTATCTGGCCCAGTGTACTGCACCCAGCCTGCTCAGCCGCCCCGATCAGCAGGAAGTGCACGGCAAAGGCGGCCGACGACAATGGATGCGAACAGCTTGGCCGATTTTTGGCTGCATGATTGCTTTGTTAAGGGTTTTCATTTTTTGACTGACTGTCGGGGCACCCAGGGTCGTTTATTTTTAATTCCTTTTCCCCCCCTCCCCCGAAAGCCCCGCAACTCTTATACGTCGGGGCACCGCAACCGCTAAACGTCGGCACCGCAACCGCTATACGTCGGGCTCTCGCCAAGTGAACCTAGGTTCGTTTACGGGTGTGTTTGGTGGCGAGGGGTACCCCCCCCGTCGGGGGGGGGGCTCTCGCCAACCGAACCTAGGTTCGTCTGGCGAGGGCTACCCCCTCCGTTACGTACAGTGACGCAGGGGGGTAGCTCTCGCCACACGCTTGTAACGGGGGGGGGTGGCCCTCGCCAGACGAACCTAGGTTCGGTTGGCGAGAGCCCCCCCCCGACGGGGGGGGTACCCCTCGCCAGGGAACGCTCCCAGTGGCAAGATGTGTTTTACTTTTTGGCAGCCAAGGCGGTGACGACCTGCAGTGGACCTGGCCTGACCAGCCTGAGGACGAGCCTGCCTCTGAAATGTTCAGAAGGCAGCACCTGAGGTCTTCTTCTGACCGCCGCCGGGCCGCTGAGCGACTGACCTGCCAGTGAACAAATTATGCTTGGGCGGCTGTGAGCTGAAGTTGGCTAGTCACTAGTCTGTCAGTCGTCAATGTTTGAAGCTAGGCGCCAATCTAAGAAATCTGCCTATAGGTTGATTGACATTGTCAGCCGGAGCATTTCAGCAAATGGAAGCTGAACAAGGCTGAGCAGAAGTCAGTCGAGGAAGAGGAGAAAAGGGTCTACGCGGAGCGCAAGACTGCTGGCGATTCAGACGAGGACGCTCAGAAGGCAGCTTCAGAAGCCGCGGCGACCAAGTCGAAGGAGCTGTCATGTCAACGCCAAACCATGATGTTTTTTGAAGCCCTGTCGTTTTCACGTGCAAATCCATCAGAAAATGCAGTCTGTCTTGCCTTTCGTCAGGCTCTGAAGGAAGCAAAGATGGTGAAGAGCCAGGTCAAGAAGAACCAGCCACAGTCGGCGGCGGCGGCTATCGATGCTCCGGAAACGGCGCCTCAGAACAACACCCAGTACTACGAAGCGCTCATCGACGCCGTCAACGTGATCCTTCAGTGCCCCACCTTCGTTGACCTTCAGACGACCGCTGCGCCGCTGCCGATCAACACCAAGCCGGGAGAAGACCAGTCAGGAGTTCAGGCGGGAAGGTTTTAGTGCATTGGCGGATTAAACCTAGCCTGCATCTTCATTCGACACTAGTACTACTCCGTATCTGTGCTCCGGCCTTTCTACTTACCAATTTTACCGCGAAACAAACAGCATACATGACGACAATTAAATTGAAGGACTAGTTTTCGGATGTTTAACTGGTAACTCAGCAGTTTCAAAAAGATCGCCATCCTTCAAATTGTCGTCTTGGGTGGAGACTTGTTATGTTTGACTCCTGTCCTTGCAATCCACTACGCGGAACATCCTTTGCATGCTGCAATGGTCAGTTTGACAGAGTTTGACCGTGTTGCTCCCATTGTGCTGATTACACCAGTTTGACACCACTTCTGGGCAACCAACAACGAGTGCAAAAAACAACACAAACGCCCGCAAATACAAACAAGTTGCCTCAACTCATAATGCAAAACCAGTGCATTTCCTGCATGCGCAAGGTGTCTGCGGGCAGTTCGTGCCAAAACACTGAATTGCTGCAAACGTACCACTTGTCTAAAACAACGAGACATTTCTGGTAGAGCGAATAGTTGTTTTTCAGCTTGAATTACACTGGTCAATCTGCCAGGCAGTTTTCGACCCACGGGAGTGCAAGGCAGCATTGACGAAGGAAGGATGCTACAGGGCCGCGATCAACTTGATGTGGATTGACCCATTTGGGTCCACAACGCCCACAGTACCGCTCAGTGTGGAGAGGGTCCGGGAACTCGGGCAATTTGCTTGTCCCGCCGGGGATGCAAAGCACTTGACCGAGAACTTCACAGTCGCGGTCGACAGCCCGGACCAGGACATGCTGGATAGCAAGGGGAAGTGGAAGGCTGAGCCCGGAGGAAATGCAGCACGCCTTGCTGTTCACCTTAGCGGATGTCATCAAAGACCAGGCAGGTGTTCGGAAATTAGCTAGCGACGAGAGTTTCGCGGTTTTCAGACACGTTTACTGACTGACAGGGATTTAATAGCTACTTAGAGGGTAATTTTGTTTGTAGTCTTCGGACGCATTCAGTGACTGATGTTGAAGCTGCTAAGGCGCCTGATGAGAAGCTTGCTGCCTGGCGCCGGGTCTTTTTGTCGGCGCCGGCAGTGTTCACAGTGGTGGGCGGGGGAGACAGCTTGTACTGGCACAGCTTCCACCGGAGGCAGCAAGTGGTGCAGACTTACGACTCCCTCAAGAGAAGCGCTCGACAACTCGCTTTTGAGGCGACTGCCTTCAAAAACAAGAAGGAGTCCGAGGCTGGCGAGAGACTTGGAGTTAAGGAGGTGCAAGACATCTTCCGGTCCAAGGCCCACCTCATGGCGAAATCCTCCGTGAAAGGCGACATGGCGGATGGATTCGTGAAGGACTGCCTGTTCGTCTATGAGAAGTTGCTCGTGGACACAACCTGCAACGAGGTGCTGGACAAGTTGGAGAGCAAGTGTGGCTTGGAGTCGCCATTGAACTCCCTTCAGAAACTTCGGGTGCTGATTGCAAAAAGCGAGAACATGGAGACCAGGCCGGGGAACAGCGCTGCCATCGGACTTTCTGAATCTGCGCAATTGCTTTTATTTTTGCCTTGCGACCATCTATTGAGGCAATGGATTCTGAAAGTGATTTGCGACATGGTGGAGGGAGGAGCGCTTGAGCGCGAGACCATCACCAAGACCTACCTCGCTGGGACGCCCACAGCCGCATCGCTGGTCGAGCTGTTGAAGCTGAAGCGAACTGTGGCGCATCACTTTTTGCAGGCAAGAGAAAAGTGGCCTGAGAGCGAGTTGTCCATCAACAAACACTTGTTGAACACGGCCCTCTTCAGTCTTGGCAAGTAAACTAACTTATCAACATGGATCTGTGGTTCAAGTTTATTGTGTTCAATGGTTGCTAGGCTTCTGAAAAAATGCGTGGTGTTAGGCATTGCATTGATGGACTCAGGTGGAGATGCCACGCAGCCAGTTCGACACTCAGGACCTTGCCAAGATCCACTCGAAGATCATGACGATTTGCAGCTACCGGAAATACGTGACCGCTGCTAACCTTGAAGGTCCATCTGAAGTTCAATGGATGTCTTCGTTGAAGCGCTCCAGCATGCTTGTGCTGAGGTTGATCGAGGTGGGGGGGGCAATGCAATCTTAAAAGCATTATTGGCAATGGCCCCCTTGGCGCGAAGGACATCCTGTACACGACGACGCTCAACGGCCCCTTGATTGCTCTTCTGAAGAAAGGAAAGGGAGCCAACCCGCTTGGGCTGCTCGAGATCGAGACGTTCTGTCTACGATGGAAGGCTTGCGTGGCAGCAAAAGACAATGAACTAGCTGCAGAGAAAGCGCTCTACAAGGCGGCCGAGGAGGAGCAGGACGAGCAGGACGAGTGCACGAAGATCGCGCAGGGCAGCGTGGCTCCGCAGCCTTCAAAGTACCCCAAGGGCTCGGCTGAGTGCCTTGGAGAGAATTGAATTTGACGTTGCTTTGCTCGTGCGAGCGTGCGCCATTGTTGCGGCAATGCATGAGCAGTCAACGAAGGCATTGGACAGCGACGGCAGCGCAACAGGTTGCGATCTATGTGTCGTTGCGGGCCGAGCCTCCAACCCAGTCTGCCGTTGCCCGGGCCGTAGGGGATAGCGGCCTGAATGGCGACCTCCGCGGCGTGCAGGGCAAGAGCGGTGTCATGATCCACTTTGACGCCAACCTGTTTGCAGAGGCCGCCAAAAGGCCTGACCGAAGGTTTCCACCACTGAGCCCAGCCCTCATGAAAAAGTTGATCCACGGCAGCATCAAGGGCCGCGGCGGCCTGGCGAACAAGAAGGTGGCAGAGGATCACTTCGACCGTCCAATTGACGGAGACTTCATTTTCTTGAACGATGCTGGGCGGAACGTGCTGGAGAGCCTCTTGGCGCCGTTCAAGTCGAAGGATGGCAAGGGGGCCTTGGCGCACTACCTGGAGCACACGGAGATCACGCTGTGCCTCAGCCAGGACGACGATGTCCGTTTCAAAATTCGATTGTGTACTTATAAATTCGTCAAATTTGAAAGCTTTGTCAGTGCTTTCATCGGTTTCACTTGTCTTTCAATCCTGTCGAGGAGTCAATGGAAGGAAAGAAGAAACTGAACCGCGGCATGATCAACCAGATTCAGCGCTGGCATTTGATCAGCACCGAGCCCATGTCCACTTGGCTGCCAGAACGCAAACACACCAAATTCCCCGGCTCCAACCGAGGGAATTGCATCGGCTGGATTGGTTTGGGCAGCGCTTCGGATGAGTGGACTTTAACTGTGAACAATAAGCAGCCCGACTCAAATTTAATCGTGCCATAGTAATAGTAGCATGTTTGGGGGCCTCAATCATATGCGTCGCCCGATTTGTCAGGAAAGAGATGTACGGAGACAAGATGATGGGCGCAGATTCTGCCGAGGACCCAAAGGAGAATGAAGAACAGCAGCGCCACGGTGACTCTTATGAGCCTGCCTTCTTCAACCACTTGCCGGTGACGCTGTACTCAGACGCCCTGGCCGCGTACGAGATCACAGGCGTGCTGGATTGCACGCCAGGCGCAGGAGATCTGGCCAAGGCGGCCTTGGATTCCTTACATGGCCCTGACCATGACAGAGACTCACGCTTCGCTTCTCCAGAGTGAGCTGGTCAAGTTTGTCAAGCAACAGATGCAGACAGAAGGGTCTACGTTCTACGCGCCTGAGTGGGCGGCAGCTGGCAAGAAGGATGCGGAAGCCGAAAAGGGCAAGAAGACGCCAAAGCGGCCGACGCCCGCCCCCGGAGATCCGGCGCCTGAGCCGGAGCCTAAGAAGCCAAAGACGACGAATAAGAAGACGGGGAAGGCGGAGAAGAAGCAGAAGAAGGAAAAACCGACTGGCAACGCGCCGCCGGCCTCCCAGCTGATTGACGATTCTGAATCAGACTCGGCCAGTCAGTGAGCATACTAGGCTAGGCCGCAGCAATCCTGGCTGCTTTTTGTTCAAGACGCTTAGGCCCAGACTTCCGCGGCGGATCAACTATCAAATATGTTTTCTTCGCCGGCGCAACGTCGTGGGTGAAACACCGTCCTTGCGCCGGGCCTTACTAGGGTCTTGTGTCCCTGCGAGGCCCGGCTAGGGGACGGCGTCGGTGTTTTGAACAAATATTGAAACTTACTGCTGGCTTTGCTCAAGGTAATGTAGTTAAGCAGAGGCATCAATGTAAATTGGAAGCTGCTGAGCTGAAGGCTGGGCGAAAAGGACACCTTATTAGGGCTTTGAGTGACTGGATTGACCTTCAATCTGAATCACAATGACGAGCGACACAAACTTCAGAGCGGTGTAAAATAATGTGACTGCAGCGCCTAGGCTTAGGTTTCCGCAACTGAGTGGTGACGAGGACATTTAATCCCCCCTGCGAGTGCCTCATTGTCATTGCTCATGTTTTGTCTTTCTTGCCGGGCGGCTTGTTCTGAAAATTGTTGCAGATCAGTACATGCTCAAGAGAAGCGGCATGTCAATCAATTAGGCAAGATGGACCTCGATTTTGCCATGGCTTCAGAGCCCGCGAAAGAGAAGAACGGCAGAAAGAGACACAAAGACCAGAAGGCATGCGGGCACAAAGGCGACGCCAAGAAGGTCTTGAAGACGGCTAAGACCAAGACGAAAACCAAGGAAGCAACGCCTACGCAAGCAGCTGCCAAGACTTCGAAGAAGCGGCCAGCCGGCGACCTTACGAACAGTGACCAAAGGATCCTTGCTTTCAATCAGAGTCTGTCAGCAGTGATGCCTGTCAAGGCTTGACTGAACGAGCTGCGTTTTTGCGAGCTAAGGAAGTTTGCTGAAGCCCTGATTGAGCAGCTTGAGAAGAAAGCCGCAACCAGTCGCCTTGGCCGCGAAACTGGACCTGGAGAAAGGGCTGCGGCTCCGTCTGTGGTCCGACTTGGGTCTGACTGCTCGGGTTTGTCCTCCGACTTTGTCAGCTTGAAGCTGGCCTTCGGCCAGTCAATTCGGGTGAGCACTGCTTTCATTTCGGCCGCCTGCTTGCATTGCGGCACTCCGTTTTGTTGCTGGGCTGGTCCCTTGAGCCAAGGACATCGACCCCACCAGGAGAAAAATGGCCTTGCAGATGCACGCGCATTTTGGAGATACGCCAGCTCCTCATTTAGATTTCGACGAAAGTTTTTGTGTTTTCTGCTTGCTTAAATCCAATAGCAAATTCGAAATTCAGGAAAAGGTGTACGATGACATCACCTCGCGGGACAACTCCAGCGCTCCGGCCTGTGACCTTTACGTCAGCGGAGCTCCTTGCCCAGCATTTTCAAGCGCTGGTCGCCAGCAGTCGCTAGGAGATGTTCGGGGCTGCGTTTTGATACACAGCCTCGATTACGTCGTGGAAAAGAGGCTACGGCTCGCAGTGTTTGAAAATGTGCGGGGGCTTAGCGGCCCGAAATGCAAAGCGGTGCTGGACGCGGTGGTGAAGATTCTGCGCCTCTGCAATTACTCCGTACGGGCCCAGGTCCTCGACACGAAGGTCCATGGGGGAATCCCGCACAGCAGGCCAAGGCTGTACCTCGTGGCCATCTCAAAGGCATGGGCAGTGAAAGAGGAGATGCGTCACTTGCCCTTCGCTCAGCCGCTTCATCATCAACAACGTGCAGCAGAAGCGGGATGTCACAGACTTGGCCCTGAAGAACATCAAAGCTGCCAAGGCATTTGCTGAAGCGAAGGGCTGGGATGTGAAGAGGCAGATCGTGTGCGACGGTGGGGCCACAGAAATGTTTCGGTGTGTCATGCTGGAGTGCAGCCCATGCTTGACAAAGTCCAGGGCATCGTCAAATGGACATTTCCTAGTGACGCTGAATCGATGGATGAACATCTGGGAAATGGCTGCGCTGCAGGGATGGCCAAAAGTGCTGGTGGATGAGGTCCTGCAGTCGTTTCCTGCCAGACAAATGGGCGCGACGAGCATTTTGCAGCGGATGCTCCCTCGGGCGACGCTGGCCTCCCAGCTCATCAGTAAGCTTCCACATGACATTTGGGCTGATTCCGCCAAGGTGAAAGGCCATTTGCCAGATGCAGTGTACGGTTTGGTTTCGCCCGGACATGAACAAGGCGCTCTGTGGCGATGATGCCGCACGCCGCCCATTGATGTAATTTGAAATATTGAATTAAGTAGGCGGCTGCTCTGGCAAGGGATGACCCGCACCATGTCGCTTGGCCGAAAACGCGCGATGTCTAGCTTGGATTTGTCCAATGAGCTTGTGGACTTGCTTGCCCCTCCGGCGCCTATTAGCATTGTCGCTTTGAATCCGCCGTGTCATGTGCGCGACTTTGCGGGCTCTTAGCAAAGACCAGGGCGCTACCGACCATCGTCTAAGCCAATACGGCCCTGCGAAAATAGTTTTACGCAAAATATTATAGGTTCCTTTTCAAGCTCGAAGTGTTGAGAATTTAACCTTTGTAACAGATTGCCCCCACTCAGAATCACGAAGCAATGTCGTTGTCTCCACTGGCGGGGAGACTCAGATACCCGTTGACGACCATTTGGAAAGGCGAAGTCTGCGCCGCAGCGGAGACCCAGTTTGAGCTTCCAGAGGAAACTTGGCGACATTAAATTGTTTGTCTCAGACTTAGGATGCCGTCAGTTTAAAATAAAGGTGTTGGTCTGCGATCCGCTCTCGTGCAACCAAGGACATTGACATGGAGGCGATCGAGCCGAACACTGAGTCCGCAGCCTTGGCCGAGTGGGCGCGCATCTTCCTTTGCTTCTGGCCAGCGGCAACAATATTCAGCTACCACGAGGTGGAGACTTACAAGGTGGAAATGTTCATTGTCAATGCTGCTGTCGCGGGCGATGACAAGGTCCTCATTCTGAGGGTGAAGCACTTAAAAGGCGAGCACGAAGGCAAAAATCAAGCCATCGTTTTGGGAAGGCAGTGACATGGACCGTGCCACAGCAGCGCGCAGAAAATTGCAAAACCGGAGCGGCTGCCAGCTTGCGAGTCGTTCGACGGACTGCCGTGCAACTCAGGGCTTGGTGAAACACGCTGCTTCCAGGCATGTTTGTTGAACTGACGATGTGTGTTAAGGCATGTTGCACTGCTCCTAGCTTGAACCCAAACATGAAACCCCAAAAGAACAAAGCTCATCCGAAGCGGCCGCAGTTCTTTTTACCGGGATTGCTGAAAGTAGCACTGCTTCCAGGGCACTGGTGCGCCTGGAACAGGAGGCACATTGACCCCCCGAATTTTGAAAAGGCAAGACAATGCGTGTCCTTGCATACAAATGCAGTGCTTGCGGGGCGCGGCATGCGTGCCCACGCCCCAAGGTCCGGAGACCGAAAGTCCGGAGACTCGAGGTCCGGAGACCAAAGTTGGTCCGGAGACCTGGTCCGGAGACCAAAAGGCCCGGAGGCCACCCATGAAAGTGCAGAGCGTCTGCTACCTATACTTGCAGAGCCTTGTATAGGGCAGTGCAGGGTGGGTGGGTGGGTTTCAAATGAAACCGCAGGTTTGGGTCAAGGCTAGGAGCAAAACGGCCAACGCGTAGTTCGATTCACAACATGCCCTAAACACAAGGGAAAAGAAACCCTAAGCGTTAAGGCATGTTGCACTGCTCCTAGCTTGAACCCAAACATGAAACCCCAAAAGAACAAAGCTCATCCGAAGCGGCCGCAGTTCTTTTTACCGGGATTGCTGAAAGTAGCACTGCTTCCAGGGCACTGGTGCGCCTGGAACAGGAGGCACATTGACCCCCCCTTCAGTGTTTCAGGCAACCCCGGTATAAGCGAGCCCGCTGGGCCGCAGGCCCTTCAGAGTGGGGTTGTACCTGGCAGGGCAAATGCTAGCGTGGCCATGCACGCTGGGCTGTGAGCAGCCTGTTACGCAGTGTCTGCACTTTTTTCGGTCAGAGCGGCTTGATTAAGCGGCTGGCTGACGTTGCCAGTTGTTCTGGCTGACAGGGCGACGACGGCCATTTGGTCGCAAGGCATGTCGGGATGCAAATCAGGCGGGCGAAGCAGTGACGGAGGCTGCTGCCAAATGCTCCGGGCGCCAGGGCGCATGCATTGGACACAGTTGAATGCCTCGGCCTGACATCGCCAGGCTTGCAGGGCTAAAGCGTATGCGACTTTCTGGGCGATGGCTGAATCGGGCCAACCGACCTCTGCTGAGATCGTCAGCCCAATCATTGCACCTTCCTGGAACGTGCGTCGGCTGCAGCAGCACATTGTGAGCGTGAGCCCAGAAGGCTGTTAATTGCACGAAGAGTTGCAACGGCCAGGAGGTCGTGAACAACTTGTTAAGGCTTGCTTCCGTGGCGGAATTGTCCGTGCCTGAAGGCATGCTAAACGAGTAGCGCCCACCACCAATGTGGCTGTGGGTTGCTTGCAGTAGTGCTAACTGCGCCAGCGTCTCGAAGCATGCGATGTACCGCTGTCCAGGCTTGACAAGGCAAGGCCACACGGCTCTTATGTCTTGCATGTTCCAGGTCTCGGCAAACCAAACTACTTGGGAGGACGTGATTGCCCAGCCCCCGATCCCTACCAAATCGTCTTCGGCACACGCATCCGCGGCAGCCAGAGCTTGCAGCTGGTGTGGCCGCGCCAAGGGCTGAACAGGCGAGTGCCGAAAGCACGACGCCAGCCAAGTAAGGCATTGTTGGC